TTCCCTGCTGCTGCTCTCCTCCCTCGGATCCAGCAGCTCCATTAGTGCTGCCGCCAGTTTCCACACAATTTTCTCCACCAGCAGATGCCTCCTGTACCTTCTCTCCATCACCATTTCCAGCAGCTGCCTCCTCTCCCTCCTCCCACACACTAGGAGTCAGGTCCAGCTGCATGGTGATCTGCTCCATCTGCTGGGACACCCGGGCCTCCGGCTGTTTCTCCCAGGTCCCATACATCATGCCCTCAATGAATTTCACATCCCTGCTGTCAAACAACACACCCTTGGATGGTTCCCACAGCAGCCATCCCTTGCTCTCAGCAGCCAGCCCCAAATGCACATACCAGATTGCACTCGCCCCCAACTTACTGCGGTAGGTCTTGGGGACGTGGGCGACTGCCATGCAACCGAACACCCTCAGCATGTCCACCGGCGGCTTCCTCCCAAGCCACCTCTCCAAAGGCACCCACGAGTCATCCCCAACCTTGGTGAGCACCCTGTTCCTAGCGACGGTGGCGTGCCGGACAGCATGAGGCCACATAGAATTGCTCAGCCCAGATTCTATGAGCAGCGCCCTAGCTGTCTCCAGAATGGTCCGGTTTGCCCGTTCTGCTACACCATTGGACTGTGGGGTATAAGCCGTGGTCAGCTCTCTCTGGATGCCCTGCTTTTTGAGCCAGGCCGTCATTTCAGCTCCAAGGAACTCACCACCCCGGTCTGTCCTAATCCGCTTCACTACACACTCCGCCTGCTTCTCCACGAATGGCAGCCAATCGTCCCGTATCGTGGAGGCGGCGTGGTCCTTCTGCTTCAGCGGATACGCCCACATCAGCCTGCTCCAGTCATCCACAATTGTAAGAAAATACCGCTCCCCCTTGTGCCCTTGCACCGGCAGCGGCCCCACCAAGTCCATGTGGACCAGCTTCAAAGGCTTCTTGCTCCTGCCAGCCACACTATGGAAAGGGAAACGGGTGAACTTTGAAAGCAAACAGATTTCACAGTTGTCATCGGGTGGCTGTCCGTTCAGCTTCAAACCTTTGACAGCTCCATCTTTCTCCAGTTGCTTTAGCAGAGGCATTGCCACATGCCCCAAGCGTCAGTGTGCCGTTGCCCAATCCGTCTCCCCAGATCTGGCCGACACTTTCACGCCAACCCCTCCAACGGCGTTGCACTCCCCCTGGGATGCAGACCCTTCTCCAGCCTGCCCCCCACCGTGCCACGCCAACGCCGGCAGCTGCCACATGGATCTGTACACGTCCTTGCTCTCGTGCAGATCCCAAAGCACCCGATTGCCCAGCTGCCCCTTGTATGTGCGAGCCCCATCCGTGCTAGTGCTCACCCCAGCCTTGGCAAGCTTACGGAGGGAGATGAGGTTGGCCTTGAGGTCGGGAACGAGGAGAACGTCGTGCAGCACCACCGGCTTGCCATCCGCTCCCTTAAACGCAGCTCGTCCCGCACCAGCCACCTTCAGCGAGTGTCCAGAGGCGGAGCACACTTCGTTAATCGGTGCAGCGCGTACGTCGTCCAGCAGGTCTTTGCGCGGCGTCATCGTCCAAGCAGCGCCCGTGTCCAACACCCAATAGTCCAGGGGGTGCAGCTCTGCTCCAACCTTGGCAGAGGCGTCTCCTTGCTCCCCCTGCTCTCCAATATGGAAGAACTGGCCCGCGGTGCGCTCCTTCTTCTTCTCCGCACCAGCGTTGCTCTTCGGGTTGTTGTCGGACGAATCAGCGACCATGTTCGCCATCCTGTTGACGATTCTGGGGGGTCCATCCATCGGGTTTCTTATAGCACAAAAACCAGGGGTGCCCCTCCTTCTCACAATACCAGCAACTCCCTTTCATTTTGCCACCAGCACCCGACTTGCCCCCACGTCCAGATTTCGCACCGCGACCCCAACCGGTACCTCTTTGTTGGTCGTTGGAGTCGTCGTCCTTCTTTGCACCGCGCCCAGCACCACCGAAGCCACGTCCTCTGCCACGTCGGTTCCCTTGCATCCCGTAGCCGCTGCTGCCGTCGTCCCCACCCCTCAGTTGGCGGCGACGGAAGTCCTCACCCACTCGAGCGTCCACGAGCTCTGGTTCTGCGGCAGGCTCAATCCGCTCGTGAATTGAAGCCACGATTCCAGCAGCAGCGAGAGCATCTTCAGGCACTTGGTCTGCTCCGGGTAGGTGATTCCCGCGGTCGCCAACTTTGTATAGAGGTCGCGCATTTTGTCCAGAACTGGTTGCACCGGCTCTCCCTCGCTCAATCGCAACGCGGACAGCTCCCTCTCCATCATAAGCGTCGCGGCAACGGAAGTAGGAGCGTGCAGCTCCTTCAGCACGGTCCACGCCTTCGGACCGCAATCAACCTCCGGCAGCAGGTGCATGACGTGGTGACGCTGGTTCAGCTCCAAACTCTGCGACATCAAGTAGTAGCCAGCCGATGCGCGCTCGTCCCAATCTTCCTGCAGCGCGGGGTCACTCGGTCTAGGCTCCTCCCCAATCATTAGTTTCAGCAATCCAATCTGACGGAAGTAAAGCTGCATTTTCCAGGCCCAATCATCATAGCCCTCACCATTGAACTTCTCGACGGTGAAATTCTTCAGCACCTCCTTGATGAGCGAGCTCTGGTTGGTTCGCGCTCCCCTTGGCGCCGAAACACAAGAATCTTGGCTGCCACTACGATCTTGGGCTGAAGATTCACCAGCTCCCGCCGAGGTGTTGCCCGCCATAGCTACCTATAACGAGGATCACTATAACGCAGCTCCGATAGCAGCTTGTTGGTATAAGGGCCTAATAAACTCAAGCTATTAGGACTTAATCAAACTTAAAGCCTCTCCTCGGGGTCACCTCCAAGGGTCCCTGGGTGCCTGGTACAAGACCAGCCCCTATCCTCGGGTCCGAGTTTGTAGAGAGAGGGATCAAGGAGGACTTAGTCAAAACAGCAAGAGTACCTTGAACGTCGCGCAGCGTGCCGTGCAGACCGTCGATCGGATTAAGTTGAGAATTCGCTATATCGAAGCTCGCTCCAAGAGCTTTAAAATGAGCCAAGTTGCCTCGCGAAAAGTTCTGCCATTACTAAGTTATGGCTCAGACAGCGTTTGCCTAGCGTTGGAGTGCTAGCATACTAGCGTTGACTCGGGTAGCATTCCGCCGTCGAATAGCGCAGAAACGAAATTCCAGCGAGGAAGGAATTCGCTTGAATCAATTGACTATATTCAGGTACAAACAGAGAAGGATTAAATAGTTCTAGCTAGCAAGGACCTTGGGAATCAACCTGGGAACAACCAGGGATGATCCCAAATAATTCCAAGCAACAGAACCAACCTGGCTAGACAAAATAGCAGGTGGTAGGTTGGTAAACAACCTCTGGTTCTGTTTTTCCAACCTGGGAAAACAACCAGGTTCAGGTTCTAAAAACAGAACCTGTTTTGTCTTTGCCCAACCAGCCAAATGCTGGTTCCGCTGGTTTCCCCTGGCCTTGTAGCATGCAGATACAGACAAACAACATCCAACCTTCACCTAAATTGTACCCCTATAGTGCCTTCCCTGCTACACTATAGTTAACCAAACAAAACAGTACAATTTCGAGTTGGATAGAACTGAATCTGCGCAATGAACTCAACCGAATTGCAAAGCTTCCATCTTGGGTTCCTTTGCGAGCTCGTCCTTTCTGCTTGCACTGTTCATAGCGCGTACAATGTTGTGCCGAAGCGCGCATTGCGCGAGTACCTGCAAATGCTTCAAGCGAAAATTGCGAAAGCAAACAAACACACGAACACATCATTCACACGCAAATGCATTCGCACATGCATACTCGTACAAACAGACGGCAGGATGTCGTGCAATGTGCATTTGCACCCAACACGAGTTTGTAGAGAGAGGGATCAAGAAGGACTTAGTCAAAACAGCAAGAGTACCTTGAACGTCGCGCAGCGTGCCGTGCAGACCGTCGATCGGATTAAGCTGAGAATTTGCTATATCGAAGCTCGCTCCAACAGCTTTAAAATGAGCCAAGTTGCCTCGCGAAAAGTTCTGCCATTACGAAGTTATGGCTCGGACGGTGTTTGCCTAGCATTAGAGTGCTAGCGTACTAGCGTTGACTCGGGTAGCATTCCGCCAACGAACCGCGTAGAAACGAAATTCCAGCGAGGAAGGAATTCGCATGAATCAATTTGACTATATCCAGGTACAAACAGAGAAGGACTAAATAGTTCTAGCTAGCAAGGACCTTGGGAATCAACCTGGGAACAACCAGGGATGATCCCAAATAATTCCAAGCAACAGAACCAACCTGGCTGGACAAAATAGCAGGTGGTAGGTTGGTAAACAACCTCTGGTTCTGTTTTTTCCAACCTGGGAAAACAACAACCAGGTTCAGGTTCTAAAAACAGAACCTGTTTTTGTCTTTGCCCAACCAGCCAAATGCTGGTTCTGCTGGTTTCCCCTGGCCTTGTAGCATGCAGATACAGACAAACAACATCCAACCTTCACTTAAATTGTACCCCTATAGTGCCTTCCCTGCTACACTATAGTTAACCAAACAAAACAGTACAATTTCGAGTTGGATAGAACTGAATCTGCGCAATCAACTCAACCGAACTGCAAAGCTTCCATCTTGGGTTCCTTTGCGAGCTCGTCCTTTCTGCTTGCACTGTTCATAGCGCGTACAATGTTGTGCCGAAGCGCACATTGCGCGAGTACCTGCAAATGTTTCAAGCAAAAATTGCAAAAGCAAACAAACACACGAACACACCATTCACACGCAAATGCATTCGCACACGCATACTCGTACAAACAGACGGCAGGATGTCGTGCAATGTGCATTTGCACCCAACACACTCCCCCTTAGCCTGCCGGCTGCATCCCCATCATTCCATGCTAGTTCATGCTCATTCCACTCATGCGCACACAACGCCAATGAGGCTCATCCGCAAGCCTCTTGGTGAGAAAGTCTGCTGGCTGTTGGTGAGTCTTGATGTAGATCGGATTCACTGTCCCTCTCTTCACCTCCTTACGCAGTCAGTGCCACTTGATACGCATGTGCTTGTTCAGCCCATGAAGCACAGCGTTTCTGGCCATCCCAAGAGCCCCCTTGCTATCACAAAACAGCGGTGTGGCAACCTTCTGCTCCTGGCCAATCTCCTCTAACAGCCTCCTCAGCCAAATCACCTCCTTCACCCCATGAAACATTGCCATGTACTCTGATTCCACGGAAGAGAGTGCCGTCTCCGTCTGCTTCTTGGACCTCCAACTAACAGGTCCACCCCCAACTACGCAGATGTATCCTCCCACAGATGAAGAATCTTCCTTCTCAGAAGCCCAAGTAGCATCAGTAAAGCAAGTGAGAAAGAGCTTGCCTTCTCCAAGCCTCTCCCCCTTCTCTTTCAGCACCTCCACCCCTTTCTGCTTCACATGTGCATATGCGGAGTATTGAACTCCAATGCTTGGGTGAGAGTTCAGGTACTTCACCACACGCTCAGCTGCATCCACCTGCTCCTCTGATGGATTCTGCACCACCCTAGCCAGCTGCCCAACCGAGAAACAGATTTCGGGCCTCGTGACTACTGCTGCGTACAAGAGGCTGCCCACCAAGGACTGAAATTGCTGCTGCTCCTCGGCTTCAACCCCTTCATCCTCTGCAGCCTTCACAAGCTTGAATTCTGCTGGCAGGGGAGTTGCAACCTTGCGCTCATTCTCAATCCCATACTTCTCCCCCAGCTCCTTGATGAACTTCTCCTGGTGCAGCTTCAATCACCTGTGATCAGGATCCCTCTCCACGTGCATCCCGAGGTAGTACTTTACCTCCCCAAGGTTCTTGCACTTGAAGTTTTCCATCAGTTGCTGCTGCACTTTCTGGATCTCCTTCATGCTGCTGCTGAAGAGAAGAATGTCGTCCACGTAGACCAGAAACAGCACCAGCTTCTCCCCCTCGCCCTTGAGAAAGAGGCTCTCATCACAGCTGCTGGTCCTGAATCCCATCTCCTCTAAAACAGCTGCCAACTTCTGGTACCAACAGCGTGGCGCCTGCTTCAAGCCGTAGATGGACTTGTTGAGCTTGCACACCCTGCCCGTACCATCCTCATACCCAGGCGGCTGCGTCATGTACACATCCTCCTCTAAAATCCCATTCAGGAATGCCGTTGAAATATCCATCTGAATGATGAATTTCCCACTAACAGCTGCATCTGCCAACAAGACACGAAGGGTAGGGGGTTTCGCAGTGAGAGCAAAGATCTCGTTGAAGTCCTGCTTCTCCTTCTACAGCCACCAACCTACTCTTGTAGATGGTGACCTGCCCCTTGTCGTCAGTCTTGATCCTTAGCACCCACTTGCATTGTACCGCTTTCTTTCCCTCAGGCAGCACCACTAGTTCCCAAGTCCCGTTCTCCAGCAGGCTCTGGTACTCAGCATCCCTAGAAGCCAGCCACTTGTCCCTATCTGGTCCAGCTAATGCCTCCTCCATGCTAGCTGGTTCCTCTGGTGCAGGGGCAAGAAAAGAGTACGCAGGCTCATCCTCCTCATCCGGGTCATAGCCATGCGGTAGAATCAGCAATGCCTCTTCGGTCCCTAGCTGCTGCTCTGCTGCATCAGTTCCTGCAGTCAGCTTCTTAGTAGCCATACGGGTACGTCCTGGCCTGGAGACAGGTGTCTCCCATCCCTTCATAACGACACCCTTCGGCTTCTTAGTTTTCCCCTGCTGCTGCTCTCCTCCCTTGGATCCAGCAGCTTCACTAGTGCTGCCGCCACTTTCCAGACCATTTTCTCCACCAGCAGGTGCCTCCTGTACCTTCTCTCCATCACCATTTCCCGCAGCTGCCTTCTCTCCCTCCTCCCAGACACTAGGAGTCAGGTCCAGCTGCATGGTGATCTGCTCCATCTGCTGGGACACCCGGGCCTCCGGCTGTTTCTCCCAGCTCCCATACATCATGCCCTCAATGAATTTCACATCCCTGCTGTCAAACAACACACCCTTGGATGGTTCCCACAGCAGCCATCCCTTGCTCTCAGCAGCCAGCCCCGAATGCACACACCAGATTGCACTCGCCCCCAACTTACTGCGGTAGGTCTTGGGGACGTGGGCGACTACCATGCAACCGAACACCCTCAGCATGTCCACCGGCGGCTTCCTCCCAAGCCACCTCTCCAACGGCACCCACGAGTCATCCCCAACCTTAGTGAGCACCCTGTTCCTAGCGACGGTGGCGTGCCGGACAGCATGGGGCCACATCGAGTTGCTCAGCCCAGATTCTATGAGCAGCGCCCTAGCTGTCTCCAGAATTGTCCGGTTCGCCCGTTCTGCTACGCCGTTCGACTGTGGGGTGTAAGCCGTGGTCAGCTCTCTTTGGATGCCCTGCTTCTTGAGCCAGGCCGTCATCTCAGCTCCAAGGAACTCACCACCCCGGTCTGTCCTAATCCGCTTCACCACACACTCCGCTTGCTTCTCCACGAATGGCAGCCAATCGTCCCGAATCGTGGAGGCGGCGTGATCTTTCTGTTTCAGCGGATACGCCCACATCAGCCTACTCCAGTCATCCACTATGGTTAGGAAATACCGCTCCCCCTTGTGCCCTTGCACCGGCAGCGGCCCCACCAAGTCCATATGGACCAGCTCCAAAGGCTTTTTGCTCCTGCCAGCCACACTATGGAAGGGGAAACGGGTAAACTTTGAGAGCAAACAGATTTCACAATTTTCATCAGGTGGCTGTCCATTCAGCTTCAGCCCCTTAACGGCTCCATCCTTCTCCAATTGTTTCAACAAGGGCATTGCTACATGCCCCAAGCGTCGGTGTGCTGTTGCCCAATCCGTCTCCCCAGATCTGGCCGACACTTTCACACCAACCCCTCCAACAGCGTTGCACTCCCCTTGGGATGCAGACCCCTCTCCAGCCTGCCTCCCGCCGTGCCACGCCAGCGCCGGCAGCTGCCACATAGATCTGTACACGTCTTTGCTCTCGTGCAGATCCCAAAGCACCCGGTTTCCTAGCTGCCCCTTGTACGTGCGTGCCCCATCCGTACTAGTGCTCACCCCAGCCTTGGCAAGCTTACGGAGGGAGATGAGGTTGGCCTTGAGTTCAGGAACGAGAAGAACGTCGTGCAGCACCACCGGCTTGCCATCCGCTCCCTTGAACGCAGCTCGTCCCGCACCAGCCACCTTCAGCGCGTGTCCAGAGGCGGAGCACACCTCATTGATCGGTGCAGCGCGCACGTCGTCCAGCAGGTCTTTGCGCGGCGTCATCGTCCAAGCAGCGCCCGTGTCCAACACCCAATAGTCCAGGGGGTGCAGCTCTGCTCCAACCTTGGCAGATGCGTCTCCTTGCTCCCCCTTGTCTCCCACATGGAAGAATTGGCCCACGGTGCGCTCCTTCTTCTCCGCACCACCGTTGCCCTTCGGGTTGTTGTCGGACGAATCAGCGACCATGTTGGCGCCGTTTTTCTGGTTCCTCCGCGCGCCGCCATCCTGGTGACAATTCTGGGGGGTCCATCCATTGGGTTTCTTATAGCACAAAAACCAGGGGTGCCCTTCCTTCTCACAATACCAGCAACTCCCTTTCATTTTGCCACCAGCACCCGATTTGCCCCCACGTCCAGATTTTGCACCGCGACCCCAACCGATACCTCCTTGTTGGTCGTTGGAGTCGTCGTCTTTCTTTGCACCGCGTCCAGCACCACCGAAGCCACGTCCTCTGCCACGTCGGCTCCCTTGCATCCCATAGCCGCTGCTGCCGTCGTCTCCACCCCTCAGTTGGCGGTGACGAAAGTCCTCCTCCCGAATCTTTGTCCGCACCCACTCGAGTGTCCACGAGCTCTGGTTCTGTGGCAGGCTCAATCCGCTCGTGAATTGAAGCCACGATTCAGGCAGCAGCGAGAGCATCTTCAAGCACTTGGTCTGCTCCGGGTAGGTGATTCCCGCGGTCGCCAACTTCGCGTAGAGGTCGCGCATCTTGTCCAGGACAGGTTGTACGGGCTCTCCCTCGCTCAGGCGCAACGCGGACAGCTCCCTCTCCAGCATCAACGTTGCGACAACGGAGGTCGGGGCGTGCAGCTCCTTCAACACGGTCCACGCCTTCGGACCGCATTCAACCTCCGGCAGCAGGTGCATGACATGATGACGCTGGTTCAGCTCCAAACTCTGCGACATCAAATAGTAGCCAGCCGAGGAGCGCTCGTCCCAATCTTCCTGCAGCGTAGGGTCACTCGGTCTAGGCTCCTCCCCAATCATTAGTTTCAGCAAACCGATCTGACGGAAATACAGTTGCATTTTCCAGGCCCAATCATCATAGCCCTCACCATTGAACTTCTCGACGGTGAAGTTCTTCAGCACCTCCTTGACAAGCGAGCCCTGGTTTGTTCGCGCTCCCCTTGGCGCTGAAACACCAGAATCTTGGCTGCCGCTACGATCTTGGGCTGAAGATTCACCAGCTCCCGCCGAGGTGTTGCCCGCCATAGCTAACTATAACGAGGATCACTATAACGCAGCTCTGATACCAGCTTGTTGGTGTAAGGGCCTAATAAACTCAAGCTATTAGGACTTAATCAAACTAAAAACCTCTCCTCGGGGTCAACTCCAAGGGTCCCTGGGTGCCTGGTACAAGACCAGCCCCTATCCTCGGGTCCGAGTTTGTAGAGAGAGGGATCAAGGAGGACTTAGTCAAAACAGCAAGAGTACCTTGAACGTCGCGCAGCGTGCCATGCATGGACCGGTTGAACTAACTAGCCTGTTGGCCCGATGGACCGGCTCGGCCAGCTGGCCTGTTGGTCTGATGGACTGGTTGGACCAACTCGCCTGATGGTCCGATAGACTGGATGGACCAACTCGCCTGTTGGTCTGATGGACTGGTTCGATGGAATTTCGAACAATTGGCTTATTGGCTCGATGGACCGGTTCGACCAAGTGGCCTGTTGGCCCGATGGACCGGCAGGACCAGCTGGCCTGTTGGTCCAATGGACCGGTTAGACCAATTGATCTGTTGGTCCATTGTAGAGGTCGGACCAACTGGGATGTTGATCCAACGGACCAGTTGGACCAATTGACCTGTTGGTCCATTGTACTGGTTGGACCAACCGGCCTGTTGGTCCAATGGACCGGTTGGACCAACTAGCCTGTTGGTCCAATGGATCGGTTGGACCAACTGGCCTATTGGTCCAATGGACCGGTTGGACGCACTGGCGTGCTGGCCCGATGGACCGGCTGGGCTAGCTGGCCTGTTGGTCCGATAGACCGGTTGGATCAAATGGCCTATTGGTCCGATGGACCGGTTGGACCAACTGGCCTATTGGTCCGATGGACCCGTTGGATCAACTAGCCTGTTGGTCCGATAAACCGGTTGGACAAACTAGCCTGCTGTGCTGGTGTAAGGGCCTAATAAACTCAAGCTATTAGGACTTAATCAAACTTAAAACCTCTCCTCGGGGTCACCTCCAAGGGTCCTTGGGTGCCTGGTATAAGACCAGCCCCTATCCTCGGGTCCGAGTTTGTAGAGAGAGGGATCAAGAAGGACTTAGTCAAAACAGCAAGAGTACCTTGAACGTCGCGCAGCGTGCCGTGCAGACCGTCGATCGGATTAAGCTGAGAATTCGCTATATCGAAGCTCGCTCCAAGAGCTTTAAAATGAACCAAGTTGCCTCGCGAAAAGTTCTGCCATTACGAAGTTATGGCTCGGACAGCGTTTGCCTAGCATTAGAGTGCTAGCGTACTAGCGTTGACTCGGGTAGCATTCCGCCAACGAACCGCGTAGAAACGAAATTCCAGCGAGGAAGGAATTCGCATGAATCAATTTGACTATATCCAGGTACAAACAGAGAAGGACTAAATAGTTCTAGCTAGCAAGAACCTTGGGAATCAACCTGGGAACAACCAGGGATGATCCCAAATAATTCCAAGCAACAGAACCAACCTGGCTGGACAAAATAGCAGGTGGTAGGTTGGTAAACAACCTCTGGTTCTGTTTTTTCCAACCTGGGAAAACAACAACCAGGTTCAGGTTCTAAAAACAGAACCTGTTTTTGTCTTTGCCCAACCAGCCAAATGCTGGTTCTGCTGGTTTCCCCTGGCCTTGTAGCATGCAGATACAGACAAACAACATCCAACCTTCACCTAAATTGTACCCCTATAGTGCCTTCCCTGCTACACTATAGTTAATCAAACAAAACAGTACAATTTCGAGTTGGATAGAACTGAATCTGCGCAATCAACTCAACCGAACTGCAAAGCTTCCATCTTGGGTTTCTTTGCGAGCTCGTCCTTTCTGCTTGCACTGTTCATAGCGCGTACAATGTTGTGCCGAAGTGCACATTGCGCGAGTACCTGCAAATGCTTCAAGCAAAAATTGCGAAAGCAAACAAACACACGAACACATCATTCACACGCAAATGCATTCGCACACGCATACTCGTACAAACAGACGGCAGGATGTCGTGCAATGTGCATTTGCACCCAACACACTCCCCCTCAGCCTGCCGGCTGCATCCCCATCATTCCATGCTAGTTCATGCTCATTCCACTCATGCGCACACAACGCCAATGAGGCTCATCCGCAAGCCTCTTGGTGAGAAAGTCTGCTGGCTGTTGGTGAGTCTTGATGTAGATCGGATTCACTGTCCCTCTCTTCACCTCCTTACGCAGCCAGTGCCACTTGATACGCATGTGCTTGTTGAGCCCATGAAGCACAGCGTTTCTGGCCATCCCAAGAGCCCTAAACACACAAACATTCCATTCACACCCAAATGCATTCGCATACTCGTACAAACAGACGGCAGGATGCCGTGCAATGTGCATTTGCACCCAACACTACCTATAGCATAACACCTTGTGCGGACTTGCATCGGTGAAGCATGCTACATCGGCTTTGGGGCAGCGTGCAGAGGTAAACGGCATGGGCAAGGCCATTTTTTCGGGTGCTGATGGGAAGATGGTGGGCCTCAAGAACGTGCTTTGGGAAGATGGTGGGCCTCAAGAATCTTGCAATCCTGATTTCGTTGCGGCGGTTGCAAAAGGCCAACATGGATACTAGCTCAAAGGGAGCCAAAACTTACACCGCAAGGCTTGGCGAGCGGATTCTTTAGGACCTTTACGGGGACAACGATGTCTACAATGAGGTGTGGCAAATCATTGTGGTCCCAATTCGTAAGGAGGGGCAAATGGCAGCAATCATCAACACCAAGGGTGAAACGGTCGGTAGCGGCGACGGTACAAATGATGGTGCCAACCTTGGAGGGGCCAGCAAGGGGTGCGAGCATAAGGAGACTGGTGCAACAGCCAAGGCGCAGCAAAAGGGTGAGGAGAAACCTGCGGTTGTAGCGAAGGAGGAGTACAAAGAGTGTTGGTCACAGAAATATTTTTCTGTGAATCAATCTGCTGATTTCGTTTATATAGAGTGTTCATTGGCGTTTTATATTTCGGAGCTCAAGGTGAAGCGGGGTCCCTGCAATCGAGGAGAAGTCAACGCCAACTTTGACCAATGGGGGCGGCTCGTGCTGTTCAAGAATGCGATTTTGATTTGGGGCGAAGTGTTCAAAATGAGTCAGCAGCTGCTTGTGCTATTTCTGCTGCTGCGATTGGCTGCTATTCGAAATGGCAGCTGCTCGTTAGTTTGAGCGAGCAGCTACTCGCGCTGCCACTGTCGAAGATCTCAGATTGGTCGCTGCTCAAGCAGCGTGTTCATTTTCTGTTAATAAGCGAGCATCTGCTCGCGCCGCGTTGGGTAACGCGAGCGTTACAGGCTCGCGAATTGGAAGTTTTGCTGGTGGCGAGACAAGCGAAGTGATCGAAACGTGAGTTCGGTACTCACGTTCTGAACATCACAAACAGCTTGGATGCAGGGGTGTTCACGCCTCGAGAAGTGGGGCACATGTGGCGAAATCTGCTTCGGTAAGAAAGTGTGATTTTGAACTGCTCGGAATGCTGAAGTTCGGTTCATGCGATCAGTCCAACTCAGCTTGCGGATCGAGCTGAGTAAGCTCGCACGACTTCAAATGGGAAGGATCTCACCCGTTCAAGATTGGCGCGAAATGCAATTATCAGATCGGCACCGTCAACATTACTCGCGCGCAAAATTTGAAATATTTCGGCGACGCATCGAGTGTGCGCCAAGTCACGAAAGGAATAGAAGGGAACCTGCAAAACTGTTCGCGCTACAAGGTGTGATTTTGAAACACCTAGATTAAGGTAGAAGTAGAATGATTTTGGCCTAGTATTAAACTGGTTCTTCCTGTTTGTTTTGAAGATATAACTTGAGTGGATTCCTCCTCCGGCACCTGCTGCAACGACACCGCTAGCGTTTAATGTTTTGACAACGCCTAGAAAGAACGCTCATTGCGACAACCTGCAAGCTACTTTCTCTACACACTCGGACCCTTGGATAGGGGCTGACACTAGTCAGGCACCCAGGGACCCTTGGAGGTGACCCCGAGGAGAGGTTTTAAGTTTGATTAAGTCCTAATAGCTTGAGTTTATTAGGCCCTTACACCAACAGGTTTCAGTGTCACAAACGGCCAGACTTGTGGAACCCTAGTTACCGGAATAATGACAGAGACGAAGGCGAGAAGAATGGTGTCAACATGGTAGCGGATCAATATGAAAAAAGAGCAGCTGGGCAGTTCTTTCATGTAGCGGCGGGAGAAACAGCACGTGCGAAAAGTGCACGAAACGGATCTGGGCGACGCACTTGGATCTTGGACACTAGAGCAGCCTGGTCAATGACACCGTGTGCGGAACTATTGGAGAATATTGGTGCAGCATCTATCTCGGAGGTCAAGTCCGGATCCGGACATGCAATGAAAGTGATGGGTACAGGAAATGCTGCATTTTTGGGAGCTGACGGGAAGCCGATTGTGATTGAGAACGTGCTATTTGTACCGGAAATGATAGCAAACTTGATATCGCTGAGGAGGTTGGCTGTCGCCGGAGTGAACACAGAGAGCAGAGCTGGACGCTTCGTAGGAAGATTCGGGAGCAAAGTAATTTGGGAGCTGCATGATGAGTGGAACTCGGAAAACGAGTTGTGGCGAGTACCTGTTGTGTCATGGGAGAAAGTTGCGGCACAAACCGCTGAGAAGGGATGTATCATCGAGGGGGAGCCAAAGACAGCTAGCATGGAGGAGATAAACGAGTTGAAGCACATAGGGGTGCAGCTGGTTGAGCAGCTGAAGGTCATCGCCTCGTGCTTGAAGAAAACCAAAAGCAAGGGAAAAGTTGCATTTAGGAGAAGCAAAAATACCGCGGGGATGAAAGCTGTTGACAAGTCTGGCCTTGGCAACAATAATGAAGTGCTCAAGACAACCTCATGTACCAAGGGTGTCGAAACTTCTAAGGACAAGCTGAAGCTGAGTTGAATCGTTGTCAACGAGCGAGTCCACAATCGTCAGAAGCAAAACAAAACTGTTTTTGCGAATGCTCGCGCTGCTGGCAAAATCGATGCACAAAGGGTGACTGGCAAAGGTGAAGTT